GGTCACAGCGGGTTCCAAGAACACGCTCGGCAACCTGGCCAAGCAAACTTCCAGCAAGCTGACGCATGAATTGCCCTCCCTCCAACAATCATCCCAAAAGCTTACAGAAGGGTTTTGGAAGACTACTTGTTGTTTTGGGAGAAGCCCTTTTTTTGAGAAGGCCGAAAATCCACTTCCATGAGGGTGCCAAACACCCACATGGATCATTCGGGATGCAACTGAGGCCGTTTTGACTCACAGATTCTTGGTGCGCTGGGCCGCGTGGTGCCAGATCAAGCAGGCCGAAACTTTGCCTGCGGCAAGGTGTGTCTTAGTTGGATGCCCTGTTTAAGCTTGGTGGCTTAGATTTGGATTCTATGATTTTGAACCCCTGGCTATTTCTTGCCAACCAATCCAAAGCACCTGAGGGGTTTCCAGGTGATCTGAGGTCTGCTTGAAGGGGATAGCAGGAGACCCACCGTGTTTGGGGTGGTCCCCGATTTTGCACCGGGGCCGGGGCCCAAATCATATGCTGCATGCGCAGGAGCGCAAGAGAAGAATGGCAGCTGGAGCATCTGGGTCCAGATCTTAGCCTTGGCGCAGAAACCATGAACCGTTCACGGCGTTGCTTCGACCTTCGTCGAGCCTCCCCTCCGCCGACATGGAAGCTGACTGGAGGGCCTTGGACGTAGAAGGGCCATGCATGGGGTGTATCACAGCCTGGGACTGCGCCTGGGGTTTGCTGAGTATTTGAGTCGAGAACTTCAGGCTGATATAGCAACCTCTTAGACCCTTCGGGATCCCTTTGGGCAGGTCGATGCTCGGCAGCGACGAGGATGAGGAGGAGGAGGAGGATTCTGAATCAGATAGAACCCCCATGAGCGCCGGAAGTGCGAGGCAAATGTCGGGGCGTTTCGGCCGCGTGTGGCCCAGAAGTTAGGGAGGAGGGGGCTCCCCCGCAAGGCGAGTGCAGAAGGCGAGTGCAAAGCCACTTTGAACACGTCGCATGGATGCGACGTTGACGCGCACATGCCAATGAATCGTGGGGAAAAAAAAAACAGTAGAACTGGGGGCCAGTTTTTTTTTGAGGCTACGGGCTACACACGACCCCTTCTTTTTTGGGTTTGCCATTTTGAGGGCCCTGTGAGATTGAGTCACGTCGCCGCTCGTGGCTCAAGCCCTGAATGACCGGGCCCGATCGATCTGGGCGCTGGACGCGATCCGAATGCGTGATCTGCGACAGGACGGCCATGCTGACGAATGCCTGGCAGGTTCTGAAATACCTTACTACCCATGTGGCTGTGGGTGAAAACCAATGGGATCCCATTTTGGGGTCGCCCACCTCCATTTTAGAACCTATTTTAGTGGTTGGATTGGGATGTTCACTGGGACTACGATTTGGGTTTTGACCCATGGCCATGTTGCCATGGAACCTGACCGGGTCCCCGGAAGGCAATTTTTCGGTAGGTGGGGTTTATGTTGATTGGTGGGAGGGTATTGCTTGCGCACTTGTGTATTTATTTATCTATTTGTGTTTTGCCCAGAGGCTCCCGGATTTAGGGCCTTCAAACAACCAGGTTTTGGCCCCGAACTACCTCCGGAGTGTCTAATGGAGGGGCCGGGGCTTCCATTGAAAGCCCCAGGAGCCTTTGGGTGGGGAGTATGTCAAAGGAAAAGCCCCCGTTCGCCCCTGCAGGGCTGCAGTGTATGCAGTGCTGCCCACGTCGAGCTCGAAAGGCCGAGAGGCGACTCGGTCGCTCGAGTGACTCCCCGCGGCCCAAGGGCTCCACCTCTCCCCGTTTTCCAACATGGGGTCTGGTTCCCTTCTTACTTCCTCAGATAGTGGACTTGTTTCCTTTTGGAAAAGCCTTTGGGTCCGCGCGAGCTGTTGGCCTGCACAGACCAAAGTGAGGCCCATGAGTTTCGACGCAGAGGCTGGCGCGTGTGGAAGCGAGTACTTGGGAGCCAAAGCAACCGTCGTTTCCAGATGGTTTCCATGTTAACCTGCAAGGGAGTGGTGCAGATGGCAGGTTGGTCGTCAGTTTTTTTCCAAGCTCCGTGCAGATTCGCGATGGTGCCGGCGGCACCGCCAAGAACCGTGGCCGCCTGAGAGCTGGGCGATTTAAAGGCCATCCTCAATCCTTCCCTTGAGTTGCAATCTTACAGGCACTCCATGGGCCACCTCAAATGAGCTCTCTCTGATTGGACTGTCGGACAAAACGGAGTGGGGGTGCTCCAAGACTACTCAGATTCATGTGTTTCGGGTTGCTTGTTGTTTCTTGTAGAAAGAGAGGTCCTCTCCACAGTTCCTAGGCCCGGATTTCAGCTTCGGATTCCGCTGGACGATGCTAATCAGATGTTCTTCGCCTTTAGGTTGTTTTTGTTTGCTTCCTTCGCTTTGGGGGCATTGATCAGACGTGCGGAAAGTTGGCAATGGGATTCAACATCTCGGGGTTGGCCAAGCCTCTATTTTGAGCAGATCTGACAAGCTATAAGCTGGCGGGTGCAAGGTGATGACAGCTGCGGGATTGGCCCGCGCCCTCGGGATGTTGCTGAACACTTTGGGTTGGGTTTGATTCAAACCGGGCCGAATGAGTGATTTCCTTCTGGCCGGGCAAGCAACTTTAAGAAGGGCACCCTGAAAACAAGAAACGTCCACACCCCGCACAGGTGCCTCCTCCATATCCACGGAGCTTGAGGCCCGAGCATTGAAGTTGAGAGTGGGTTGCCATGTGCACATGTCAGGAGCGAAGTGTGGAGTCCTATCCTCAGTGAATGGCTTTATTCTACAGCTAACATCAAAAACAACCTCAGCTGACTTCAGCCAGTGACCTTGGCCTTTGGGCGTGGACGTCTTGCAAGTGGGAAAAGCCGGTCATGCTTGGATTTGTATTGCATTCGCTGGATGTCCCCAGGAAGATCTAACCTCAACCGATTTACCCTCGGGACGTGCGAGTCCATCGCAGCTGTGTTTGCGTGGCTTGTTGCCGAGGTTGTCCGTGGCCTTGTCAACGGGTTGCTTTGCCGTTATTCATGTCAGGAGTCAGCAGCCACTGGTTGGGGACTGCTTGAATTGCTGCTTGCATTGCTGGCTGCTTCTTCTTCCTACTGCCCTGCTGATTGCGTGCAACGTGATATTTGTTGGGACCAACAATGTCTCCCCCTTGCTCCAACTACTCGCTTTCTCACAGGTATTCTTCTGAGAAAAGGGTTGTTCAAGGCAAACACGCCTTTTACAATCAGGGGCTGACCATCATACTCCCCCCAACACCAAAAACAGCAAAAAACAAGCACAGGCACACACACACACACACAAGACACAAGACACAAGACACAACACACAACACACAACACACAACACAATATTATATATAATGCATCTAGATCAACGGTGTGTCCTGATACGGCATGGCCTTGGCTTGAGAGCCCAAGGTCGGATCAATCACCACAGCCGCGCTTTGAGCCGCGAACTTGGAATGCCCATGCTTGTCTCTTGGAGGTCTCCCATTGAAATCAACCAACAGTAGACGCTGCTGAAAGTTGCAAAGAGGCGCGTGCGTTTGCATTTTGGATGACCCTTTTCCAGAGTGCCTGACCAGTTGCAACGTGGTCAAACACCATGAATGTGCTCACTCTCCATTTCTTGTTCTGTTCAATGCCACTTTGGGTAGGCAGTTGCCGCAACATGTTCCTCACAAATTCCTGGCGAGCATTGCCGCTCGGAGACGCAGGCCGCTTTTTCAGCCGTTGGGGCTCTTTTTTGGTGCTCGTGCACTGTGGGATTCTGCAATGGCGAAGAGCACGCGCCTGGCAGCGGGTCTCTTGGTTTTGGGCCTCTTGTTGGGGATGGCTTCAGACCTGTGCAATTTTGTCGCCCCCGCCCGGGTGCGGAGCACAAGTGTCGGTCCCACTGGCGCTTCAAGTGCCGCTTCAGCCCCACTCGGCCCGGAGCTGTTGGGCGGCTTGGCCTCGGCTGTGGCAGTTGCGGGCCTCGCCGCATCCCGAACTCGCAGAGGGCCAAGGCTAGTGGCACTTCAAGCGGAAGGTGAGGCCAAGGAGGAAGCCAAGGAGGGTGCAGAAGCCAAGGAGGGTGCAGAAGCCAAGGAGGGTGCAGAAGCCAAGGAGGGTGCAGAAGAGGCGTGTGGAATGTCGCATTCTGGGACTTAACATGTGCTGTGTGCCTGTGCGGGCATGTCCCGGTTGACCGTTGACCTTGCAGGCATCGGCGCCAGAGGATGAAGAAATGGCTGATGAAGAGGCCCAGGAAGATGAAGAGGATGAAGAAGATACAAAGAAGCCTCTCGGATGTGGTCAGCTTCATCTGCGAAGTCTGGGCTTGACGCAGAGTCTCGAGGGCTCAAAGGGATGTGTTGTTTGTTTGGTGCTTGGCCCTGGGCTGTTCAAAGGCAATCCTTAATCCTTACCTTGGGTTGCGAAGGGTCCCCTTTTTGTAGTTGTTGTACAAAAATTGAAAATCGATTTGGCCAAGACTCCATTTTGAACACCCCAGTTTGGTTTTCCGCTGAACATCAGGTATCCTGCCAAAGGATGGTCATGCCTCGACTGCGGCAGCATGACCTGGCCTCAGCTTGGCTGTGCGCTGAAAGATAAGCAGGTGACCATAGGGCGGTGTCTCAAAACGGGGGACCGGATCTCCAGCATGGTTGTGTCCTTTTGTTCTCTTGAGAACCTTTTGGTTCTCCTTTAAAAGAAGGGGAATAGAGACACACCCAACCCTTTTGATGCTCTCCTTTAGTTGGGGAACCCACAAAGCCACGCTTGTGATGGTGGCTTAGGAACTTTGACAGTGCAACCACCTGCGATAAATGTGGGGCTGCGAAGCCTTCGGCTGCAGAAGCCAAGCTCGTGCGGGAGAGGGATGAGGCGGGCTCTTCATTTGGCATGTCTACTCAGTTGGCTGTGGCTCAAAAAACCGGTGCCAAAATGGAACCCTGGTAGGTGGACACATGGACCAAAACCTGCGTAACCCCTCCTGTTTAACGTTAAGCCACACCCATTTGGGTGGGTCTTGTTTTGGGGACCTGGTTTTGTCGGACTCTGTTTTGAAGAGGGGCCAAAGGGATACCGACCATTCTGGGGGTGCGCTCATTTTGAGACAAGCCCTCAGACCAGAGCCGCCCATTGCAGGCGAAAGCAGAGGTGTCCAAGGTCATGGACGGGTTCCTGCGCATGCAGGCGCAGTATGCCCTGGTTCGCGTGAGTCTTTGATTCATTTGCCCAGGCGGACTTGCAGAACTATCGGCGGTCACACGACGAGGCCCGCATGCCCCAACTCCCCAACTCAGCTAACCTCAAGGTAGAGAAATCCGTTTGGATCCTGCATGCCGCAGCCAATGTGAGGAAGTCGCAGACATGTTCCGGGTTGACTTGTTGCTGGCCGGGGCGGAGGCATGTTGTCCGCGTCCCCCCTCCAAAACGACGATTCCTGTTGGTATCAAGGCGGTTTCGCACAGCCCGTCAGAATTCCATACATCCTTTCCTGGGAACAGGGCGGCTGATTGGACATGAGCCAACCCGGGCTATGACTGATGATTTCAAGGCGCCTTTCTTGTGGAAGGCCACCGAAGGCCATGCAAGACTCAAGACAGAGGTCTATCCAATTCAGATACTGAGCCCTCAGAAGGCGAACCCCGCAATGGCGGCATTTGGTGGGTTGAGTGCTGCGACGGCTATTCTCCAAGAGAGGTGACGCCTACGAAGAGCAAAGCGCAAGCTGAAACCTGAAGTACGGACGTGTTCCGCTTGTGAACCTGAGGCTGCAGAACAGGATGAGGGTGGTCAAAACGTTGGTATAGTGTGGCAAATTTGGGAGGGGAGATGGGTGGAGTCACCAAATGTCCCACAAAACCCATGAACATCCACTTGTTTGTTGCCATGTCCTTTGCGGGAACCACATAGCCTGATCGCGGGTCGAATGGAGGCTGGGTGTGCGCACTTGTTTTCCTGTGTCAGGCGATGTCGCGCGCAAGAGATCTCGGGAAGCTGGACAGGGTGCAAGCGGCGCTCTTTCTTTTTTGGCAGCCCTGCTTTTCCAAGCCCAAGCCTGTTTTTCGACCTCCATTTTGCATGTCTTGACTTATGGGCCCGACGAAAACGGGTTGCTGGTCAAAAGGGCAGGGTCCGCAGAGTCTCCAGGTTTGTGTGCTTGGTGGGCCTGCCTTCATGCGTGCAACAGGGGCATTGGTCCTTGTTTCGGAATAGCAGTTGACCTGCTTCTCATCGGGTTTGCGAATCTGGATCTGAGTTGTGCAGCTAGACAGGTTGGTACTATACTACAGGTGGCATTCCAGCAAGGCACCCGTCTGTTTTTCAACATGAGGTTTCCTAAACTGCCGGGCTTTCGTTTGAGTTTGCCTATGAAGCAGCCCCAAAAAAGGGTCCTCTCGTAACGACAGACCCATGTCTGGCCCCCCGGTCCCGTGTGATGTATGGGCTTCAAGTGGTCCCCAGTATTCTTTCGGGTGTTGTCAGTCGTTTGTGTGACACAACGTCTTGCTGCACCTGTTTCAATGGGTTTCCTCCCCGGCCCTTCGTCCCGAAAGATGGCCTCGAACCGAATTTGCCTGAGATTTGTCTTGGGGGGTGGCTGGATTGCTGGAGCAACATAAAAGTGTATTGGTGACTGTGTGCGTTCTAGGAGGCCTGGGGAAAAATAATGTATGGGAGGCTAAAGCCCACCCTGTTCAACCAGCCAAATATGGTTCTTTACAGGGTTCAAAACAAGCATGAAGTGTTCATTGTTGCAGAAGCGTCCCATTGCGAATTGGGATTAGGATTCGGTTTGCCAAAACTTGCTGAGCCACTTTCCTGTATGGTAGGAAACCAACAGAAGCCAGTCTTTAAAACCAAAAGGACCATGGCGAAGGGTTACCTGCAATAATGGCAGGCAACTGGGATCCATTGGTCGCCAATCTCAGTGCTTTGGTGCATGTTGCTTGGATGTTCGGACTCAATAACATTTTGCCAATGGGTTTGTGTGTATCAAACCACTCAAAGTTTGTCACTTTTATAGCAGGGGAGCAGAGTTAGTCACTCCGAGAGTGGCTAGGACGCTCTGAAGAAGCTTTTGCCCATCAACGACGACATCGACGCCGCGCTCATGGAGCCGGAAGGCCACTTTGCAAGGAGGATCTACGCCTTCTGTGATCCGTGTGGCAGTGGTGGTCAAAAATAGAGTAACCCCAAAATGGCTTGCCCTGGCAAATGGATGGACTAAAACCTGCGGCTTTCTGGGGTTTAATTTTGACCCATTCCCATGTGTTGCTCGAGCACCAACAAAGGTTTTTCTTGAAACAGAGACCCCCTCCAAAAAATAGTGAATCTGTAAAAGAAGTTGGTTTGCTTTGGTGCTTCTGGGAACGAACCGGGCTTGGTTTCCCCACAAAGCAAGACATGATGCTGACCTGGACATGCCGGACTGAGAATCCTGGATGAATAGGCAGGTGCCTTTTCGAATGTGAAGGATGCCTTCTTAAGTGGGGATTCACGCGCCTGGAATGAATATGTATGTTGTCGCTAGGATCCGCTAGGCATGTCCACGTTTTTGAACGGTTGGAACAAGGTCCAAAGAGTTCGTGCGAGCACATGCCATGTCACAACACCCCATTGTAGTTCTTCAGTTGACATCCGCAATTCTCGCAACATTACTGCGGGCAAGCATGAGCCTACCGTCATCTCGCGCAAAGCTTGTGCCGTTGTTTTGCACAAACAGCGGGCCTATGCGTCTTCCAAAACGAGCGTGCTTCAGCTGGCCAAAGGGCACTTTCAGGCCCTTTCAAATCGCTGTGTTGTTCTCGTGGACAACAAGTCCTAACCTGGCGGCAGCATGCCAATTGCGCGGCTTCAGATGTTCCTTGGCGGGGCCTTGCGAATTTGCCTGGATCAGGGTCCAGGATTGGCGAGAATGACATGCGTGCGATCATTGTGCACCCCTTTGCTCGATGTAGCGAGGCTCGTCAACCCTCATTGGGGAGCAAGGACCATGGCCCATAGGTTCGGAGCAAAGACCCTGGCTCATATGAAGCCTTCCGGTTTCTAGCTGGTTGCATTTCGCTTGCATCTAGGTGGGCTTGTTTTTTCGAGGGTAGTTGTTTCAAAGCACACATGCCCAGTGGAATTAAAGGCACCAGGCGGCCTGTCTTGTTCGCACATCGCGAAGCGCAAAGCTTGCCGCAAGGTGGCTGATCTTTTCTGCCCTCCGGCGTGCATCCGCGATTGTTTTGCGCCAGCGCACACTTTCCACAACGTTGTGGCAAGATGTGGGAGATACAACATTAGAACTAACGTGCTGGTGGTGCTGGTGATGCTGGGTGGGCGACATAGTTCTTGCCCGTGATGTTCGCGGAAATTATGCTTCTCAGTGGTTGGTTGGCGCAAAAACACAGAGCAGAATCACACAGCAACAATCCCCAGCTGTCTGGGAGCATGGCAAAGGGCACGAG